AGCAGCGAGATCATGCAGTAGGGGGTCCCCCACTTGACGGACCACAGAGTAAGTAATCCCATCCATGCCTGGTGCACTCGTCTTAGAGCAGTTAGTCAGGGCACCATGCAGGTCGACAGAAGTGAAGGGTTGGTGTGCCTGCCAGCTGACTGCTAAAGGCGGGCCACGCACCGCCTCATTCAGCAGCTCAGCCAGCGCAGGAGACATTGCATTGAAGTACGGTACATTGAGGCCTTGAAAAAGCTCGGCAAACGCACCAGCGAACACATCAGCTGACGGACAGTCAACAGGCAACCGAGATGATGTGCCAGGGGGGGAGAGCAAGCGCCAGAAGTCGCGAGGGCAGTGGCGGCGCGAAAGGGTCACCTCTCGCAACAACGCACTGGCCCGAGCAGACTTGTGGCTACGACAGACACGATCACGATAGCTGCGGGCACGCAATGACTCATCTAGCGGTGGCTGAGCCCCACCAGCCTAACGACTCGTCCCAGTCCCACGAGCGTCTAGCCTTAGAGCTCTGCGTTTAACCGTTCTGAAGGAGCGGATCTCAGATCAGTCGTCGCTTCGACTTGAGAGTCCTCCACATCACCTCACGACAGATCTGTCATCTGGGAAGCACAAATCTATTGATCCACCTACGGACCTTTTCCACTCGAGACAAGCAGCCCTGTGAGCCCTCCAGCGTCGCCCATTCCCGAGCAAGGAGGCGTCTGTGAAGATGGTGTCTGACTACTACTGGATCGTTGTCGCAGGTGAGCCCCCTTGCTGTCCCATCTCTCCCCGCCTCCCGTCGCATGTGACCCTGATCATGCTTTTGGTGTTGGGTGTTCCCTCACACACACGTGTGTCAGTCGTGTCTGTCTGTTGTCTGGTGTGTGTCAGGATGGATTGCCTGCTTCGTCATGGCATTTGGTGGGCCAAAAGAGGAGAAAGAGGGCCTCCACGCGCACACAGAGACACAACCTTATCTGTGTGCTGGTGTGCCTGGCTGTGTGCAGGAATCGGTGCCAACGATGTGGCGAATCAGTTTGCGTCGAGTATCGGGAGCAAGGCCATCAACCTCAAGATGGCCATCTTCCTGTCGGCCATCCTCGAGTTCGTCGGTGCGGCATTCCTTGGAGGTCAAGTGGCCGACACCGTGCGCAAGAAGATCGTCGACTTTGACGTCTTCATCGACAACCCGGAGCTGCTCATGTTCGGCATGTAAGTGTGTGTGTGTGAGGAGAAAGAGTCAGCCATGCAGACAGACACACACAGGTGCAAGATGTGTGTGAATGTCCCTTTGTGTCTGTCGGTCGGTCGGTCGGTTGCAGGCTGTGTGCTCTGATTGGCGCGGGGATGTGGCTGATGGTGGCGAGCTACCTCGGGTGGCCCGTCTCCACCACACACAGCATCATAGGTTCCATCGTGGGTACGTCAACGCACACACGCGCACACAGACACACACGCACGACTGGCCTCGCTTACTCAACATCTTGTGTGTGTGCCTTGCGTGCTGCATGGCGTGTGCTGCGTGCAGGGTTTTCAATGGCCACGGGTGACATCAATGCCGTCCACTGGGACCAGGTCGGCATGATCGTTGCGTCGTGGTTCATCTCGCCCATCCTGTCGGGCATCGCAGCAGGTGAGCTGCGCTGCCAACACCCACTCGTTCGTCCACATATCGTGGGTTCTTCTTGCTTGGTTGCTTGGTTGGTTGCGTCAATCACGATCAGCGATTCTCTTCGTCATCATTCGTGAGTTGGTGCTGAAGGCCCGGGACTCGGTCAACCGAGGATTCTGGTAAGCGGGCGGGTGGATGGGGTGGATGAGATGAGATGAGAGCCTTTGTGGCCGTCCGTCCCGTCCCTCCCTGAGTGTATGTGTGTATGTGTGTATGTGTGTATGTTGGTGCTTGTGTCTTGTGCCACCACCCCTGCCCCTCCCCCACACGCAGGATGCTCCCCGTGTTCCTCTTCTTGGTGTTCGCCACCTTCTTCCTTTACCTGGTCTTCAAGTAAGCAGCGGAGAGAGGGAGGGAGGGAGGGAGGGAGACCGCAGACCATAACACAATACACACACGCAAAAGACACGTGCGGGCCCATCCATCCATCCCTCCATGTGTCCTGAAGGAACAACGGGTACCTGGCCGGTGTCGAGTGCATGATGTACGATAAAGACCTCGGCTACAACGTCGCGAAGGAGCCGTGTAAGCCTCGCAAGCGCCTTGCCACACACATGCACACACGCCCCTTCTCCACCAGCACAGACGGCCATACTGTTCCGTGTGGCTTGCTTCAGGCATCGTCAAGAAGTGGGCGACGTCCAACCCCGGTGCGGCTGTGGGCATCACACTCGCCATGGCCGTCGGGGCGGCCGCCATCTGCACCGCTCCCATCTGGTGGTGGGCTAAGACCGCCCTCGCGCAGTATGACGCCGACGTGCTCAAGAGCCAGAAGGACGCTGAGGTACACACACACACACACACACACACACAGAGGGAGGGGGGAGGGAGGGTGGGAGGGATATGTGTGTGTGTGCGTGTGTGTGTGTGTGTGTGTCTTTAGCTGACGAAGGTGAAGGATGTAGAGGAGGGCGTGAGCACGAGCGCGGTCAATGGGTCGAGCGAGAAGACCACCCCCTCCCCAGGAACCATCACGCCGCCACAGCACTACTCGGCACACAATGCCATCCAGCCGATCGGTGTGCAAAAGGACGGCCAGCTCGTAGACTCTGAGCCCACCGGGGTGCCGGGGGACGGCCAACTGCAGAAGAAAAAGACGCGCGCGGAGGAGATGTGGGAGGTACGTAAGCAAACGAGCGGATGTGATGGGACACATTGCCACACAAGCACTTCCCCGTCTGTGTGCGCCTGTCTGTCTGTCTGCAGTCGATGCCATTCAACCAGGACCTGCACGATGACGCCCTGCAGGAGAGCAAGGCGGCCGCCCGCATCCACGACTCCACCGAATCGTTCGATGGCAGGACCGAACGATTCTTCGCCATTTGCCAGGTACACAGGACCATCCCCAATGAACGATGAACAGAGGAATGCGACACACACATGCCCCTCTCTGTATATGTGTGTGCAGGTGTTGTCAGCGTGTTTCGACTGCGTGGGTCACGGGAGCAACGACACGGCCAACGCCGTGGGTCCCTTCGCGGCCATTCTGGGTATCTACAGTGCCGGAGCGGCCGTCGCCAAGGTCGAGACGCCCCTGTACGTCCTCGCCTTCGGAGGCGCTGGCATCGCTGTCGGACTGGCGCTCTACGGTTACAGAGTACGGACGCACAGACGGCACAGTCAATACTCTAAGGCACACAATGGGTGGGCTGTGTGTGTGTGTGTGTGTGCAGGTGATCAAGGCGATCGGCGTCAAGATGGTCAAGATAACGCCCAGCCGCGGCTTCTGTATCGAGTTAGGTGCTGCCTGGATTATCATCATCGGCTCCAACCTCGGCATCCCCCTGTCCACCACACACTGCCAGGTCGGAGCCACCGTGGGCGTCGGACTCACCGAAACAGACAGCGAATCGGTAGGCACCCGAGCAGCTCAACGGTGCATCTGATACATACACGAGTAAATGTCACACGTGTGTGTGTGTGTTGTGCAGGGCCACATGTGCACATGGAAAAGGGCCGGGGTCAACTGGAAGCTCCTCATCGGCGTGTTCGGCGCATGGGTCCTCACACTCATCTTCGCAGGTACGTACGTATGTGGGCAAAGAGAGAGAGAGGGGATGGAGAGAGAGAGAGAGAGAGAGAGAGAGAGAAGGACGAGACATATCTATCCATCCATCCATCCGCTGACTTGACGAATGGCTGGCCTGTCTGTCTGCAGGTGCGGTGACGGCGCTGATATTCTCGTTCGGCGCCTACGCCCCCAATATCATCGGGGGCAGGGTGCCAGTCCCCGTTCAATGAAGGCGCCTAAGCTGACCAAAACACCCCCACGCCCCGTTTGCTTTTGGGGGGACCTTTGCTTCTTGCTATCGTCTGTCTTTTTGTGTAAGGGGGGACGACGCGAATCATTGAGTGGATGGATGGATGGATGGGTGAGTGAGTGGGGGGATGATTGGTATGTGTTTTCTTGCGGGCTGTTTGTGTGTGATGTGAGGGGTGGAGGCGTTTTGAGCCCATTTGTCAGCAGGGTCTCTCTCTCCCTCTCCCTCTCTCTTTACGCGTGTGTGTCTGTGTCTGTGTCTGTATGTCATTCATGCGTTATTCCGCTGTTGATCAGATCACCACCCACGTGCACCCCATCGTGCGGCGCATCCATCCGATGTATATATACATCGGATTGATGGCAATATATACATCGGATGGATGGCAGCAGGCATGTATGGTCTTTTTCCGGCCGCTCACCACCACCTTCTACCTTCTGGTAAGGTGTGAAGCAGCCTAAGTAAGGCACACCACTCACTCAGTCAACTCTCACTTCTCACTCACAATCCTCACCCACTGGCTGAGTAAATGACAGACAGACAGACAAGCGGACAGGGGGGATGCAGCTAGTTTATCGTTATAGATACGTGCACAACACATCTGTGGCTATCTGTGGCTCTCGCGGGCCACTGACCGACCGACCGACTCACTGACTGGGAGGGAGGGAGGGGAAGGTACCATGCAAGGCCGCCTCCACGTGGAAGGTTACATGTTTGATGAAGCTTCTTAATCGTTGTTGGTCGAGCGATGTTCTCGACGTTTCTTAGTAGGGGGGCCGGCAGACACAAAGGCAGAAAGGCAGAGCCGAGAGTTGAGACAGACGTCTGAGAGATGATCGAAGCGACTCATGGGCGGGCGCTTTTTCCATCCGTGAGGTCATCGACAGACAGACAGACAGACAGACAGAGAAACAGATTTATTTTGATCGCGTGCGTCGTTTTCTATGTGAACGACCTGAGGAGGACCACGGCGGTGGAATGGATGGACCGACGCGCCGACCGGCTGACCGGCTAGCCGAATGACATTTCTGTGTGTTGAAAACAGAGAGTCTACACACACAGCCCATACAACAGTATGTTGAACGAGATCATCACTGCACTGCCCGCTGTGTGTTGGCTGGCGTCATGATCTCGTTCTCTTTTCTAGTATGTCTAGATGCGTGTGCGCCTGTGCCTGTGCGTGTGCGTGTGTCTAGCTAGGCGTCTGTGTGTCTGTGTGAATGAGTGTGTGACCTACCCGTCTTTTCATACTTACGTGTGTGTCGCGAAGTGGGCAGTGAGGTGACTGAGGTGCAGGCAACACCGATGTGTACGTAACGATCTTTGTCTCTCACGGCGGACTCGATCATGGTGTGATATAAGACATGCAGGCTAGTCTAGTAACTACAGCTCGACGAGGGACCTGCCTGATCCATCGACTCACTCATTGGCACATCGATTGCGAACACACCAACCCGCTCTTACAGTGAGTGCTCCACAACCAACCAACCGTTGTGCACTCCTCCATTGACGCGCCCTCACTGCCTGCCTGCCTCGAGCTCCCTGCCTCCTCTCTGCCCCTCTCCGGGTCCGTGTGTGTGGATAAGCGGAGAGAAAAGCTGTCATGGGTGGCATGTACGTATGGCATGGTTGGCTTAACAGCCGATCAGTCCTGTCCATCCATAAAGTCCCGCCCGCTCGGGTGCCTCCGTCTGGTGGCTGCCCTCCAGCTGTTGAGCATCTCCATCTCCTTCCCCGCCTGCACCCGCACCTTCCGCGCCAGGAACTCATCAACCATGCGCAGAAGGTGCTCCTGAGTCATCGCACCTGCACCTGGTGGGTCAGGGGGTGGGCCACACACACGCGCGCGCACAGTCTGACACGTCAGTCGCTGGCTTGCCCACATATATGCATACCTTCCCTGGCCGCTGCAAGTGCTGCCTCGTTGCAGAGGCTCTCCAGCTCTGCCCCTGTGGTGGACACACAACGGTCAGATGGATGGATGGATGGATGGACAGGAAGGACTGCATCCATGTCATGTCATGGGTGTGTGGTGTGCAGTGGTGTCGGTGGTGTGGTACCTGTGTATCCCTCAGTGAGGTTGGCGATCTGCAGCAGGTCCACGTCGCCCGACAGGCGCTTCCTCTCGCAGTGGATGCGGCATATCTCTGACATATGACGACAGCACACCAACAAACATTGAGTGTGTGTCTTGTGTTGTTCTCTCTGTGCTGTGCTGTGTGGTGTCTGTGTGGTGTCGGTGTGGTGTCTGTGTGTCTTCCCACTCACTCACTCACTGACTGACCGGCTCGTTCGGTGAGTGTGGGCATGCTGACGGTGACCACTCGGTCGAACCGACCTGGACGCGTCAGGGCCTCATCGAGCACCTCATACCTGATGTGCACACACACACAGACAGACACACATACAAAGAGAGACAGCAGCCCCATTTCCTCCCTTGCTGGATGCATCCTACCTGTTGGTTGCGGCCATGACGACAACAAAGTTGCCGTGGAGGGAGAAGTCCCTCTCGATGCCGTCCATCTCGCTCAACAGCTGAGGTAGGGAGAGAGGGAGGGGGGAGCACCACACATCCACACAGACCGGGCAGACAGGAGTGCCGCACTCACCTGGTTGAGCGTCTGGACGTATTCCTGTGACGCAGCCGCCAGCATCTTGCGCTCCACACCCTGTCAGGAGAGGCAGGTCAGGCAGGACAGGAGAGGACAGGCAAGAGCGAGACAGAACAGACGGACAGTCGATGGATGACCGGGCAGACAGACGGATGGATGGATGGATGGTCCCTCCCTCCCTCCCTCACTCACTCACTCACCAGAGCGTCGATCTCGTCTATAAAGACGATGCACGGGGCGTTCTTGCGAGCGTTGTCAAAAAACTCCCTCACCCTTGCAGCCCCCTGGCCCACATAGATCTCCACGAACGAGCTCGCCGTCGCATAGAAGAAAGGCACCCCAGCCTCCCCCGCCACCGCCCTCGCGAGCAGCGTCTTGCCCGTCCCACTTGGGCCCTCCAGCAAAATGCCACGCGGCACACGCGCGCCGAGAGCCGAAAAGCTGATGCGATACCATGGAGGGATGGATGGATGAATGCCTGTGTGTGAGTGTGTAGGTGGTGGAAGATGACTATAGGCACCCACCCACCTGTCGGGGTCTCTGAGGAATTCGATGACTTGCTGCATCTCGCCCTTGGTCCTCTGGTGCCCCGCGACGTCCGAAAAGGTAACGACCTTCTGAGTCGAGGAATGCTCTGTACAGTACGTGTGTGGTGTGCGAAAGGGAGAAGACAGAAACGTTTGCCGCCATACTCATCGATCGTTTCTGCCTCATGCTTGTCATCCAACTCTCACCTCTTTTGTCCAATCTCCTGCCCTTGAACTGGTTCATCCAGCCGCCCCTCTCTCTGCCACACACGCAAAGATGCGAAGGGTGATCCGGGCAGGGCCGCGGTGTCTGCGGTGTGTCATCACTCACTCACTCACTCACCCGAGTATCCACAGGAGCCCGCCGAGTGTTATGAGGAGGGAGAGGCCCTCGAAGATTAGCGACATGGGCGAGAGGGCCTCCCGGGGCTGCGTCAACGACATCGGGACCGACAGCACCACGGGAACCTTCCGACTTCATCAAAGCACACGCAGAGTTCAATGCGATGGCTGGTTCGATGGCTGAAGGAATGATGGGCTGCACGTACCTGATCTCGTCATAGAGGCTGCTCTCGGCGCCAGGGACGGTCCCAGTCACTACAACGCACACACGCACACAACAAAACATAGGAAAACTCTGGCCTTTGTTGGGATGGGGGTGTGCAGCCATCTTCTCACTCACCATAATTGCGGCCTCTGAAGTCGGAAAAGTATATGGCGTCGCCCCGGTAGGTGACGTGCTTGACCTGCGAGCAGGACAGCAGCCGCATGAGGAAGGTGAAGGTCTCCTCCTGCAGCCGCCGTGGCGATGATGAGTCAGCTGCATTGTCGCCACCGTCCCGCCGCCTGAGGTAGCTTGCAATCCACAGCAGGACTGCGAAGGTGCCGCCCGACCAGAGGAGGACAGTGAGCAGCTCGGCTGCATCCCAGTCATGAGGCTGCTCGTTCCTCTCGGGCTTGTCCTTCTTGTTGCTCTCTCTCGGCGGCTTGTCCGTCCACCACGTGAACATGATCTGCGCAAAGGACGGCTGGATCACCTTTTCCTCTTGTAAGCTCGCATCTCGCAAGCTAAGCTTGCAGGGGAAGTGGGAAAAACGGTGAAGGAAGAGACTACCTGACAGCATCTTCTTGGCATCTTCGCATCTATCCTTGAGCTGATCTGACCGCATTCTACCGATGAGCGGATCATTCTTCGAGAACCTGCGCAAAGGCCTGACCGGCAGCACCAGGAAGGCTCTCTACGAGGACAAGAATGAGGAGGAGTCTCTGCCTGTCAGGGAGGGCGACTACCTGCGGGCGAGACGACCAGGTCAGGAGGCGTCAGGGAGCCGCCGGGTTGCGAGCGGGAGCAGGAGCCACGTGGCGTCGAGTCGCAGGGAAGGCGGGAGGGAGCGGGATGTGAAGCGGGATTTGGAAGGGCAACCGGTGAGCATGAGATCGGCGACCGAGGGGAACCAACAGGAAGAGGACCCTCTACAGAAGAAGGCTGTGGACGACTGGGTGGGGAAGATAATTCAGAACAGCCAGGTCGGTAATCATGACACGACAGACAGACAGACAGACACAGACAGACAGACAGACAGACAGATGCACACACACACACACACACACCTCTGCATGCCTGTCACTGGTTGGTTGGTTGGCTGGTTGATCGACTGAATTCATCAGGCGGGAATCAGCGCTGATCGCGTCGGTGCCGGCAGAGAGGACAGCGATGACGATGCAGACCTTCCGAGCCGCCAACCCAGCCGCCCCGCCCCACCACAGGCCAGCAGCACTCTCCTCAAGCAGCAGCAGCAGGGTGGTGGTGGTGGCCCGACCCCTGGCAGAGCCTTTCTCAGCCGCAATCTGGCCCAGGCCATGGCCGCACAGGCCATGGCTGGCCGTATGGAGTTTGGTTCGGCTCCATCGGCTCCATCAGGGGCGTATGAGGGTTTTGGTGGCGGGCACAGCTCTGACGATGACGACAGCCCCCACTCGATGCGGGGCAGCAAGGAGGTGACAGGACTGAGCGAGGTGATGATGCGCCAGAAGATCCGCGAGATGGTGCGGAATAGAGGAGGCATTGTCGACAATCAGACTAATGACAACGAAGGTGAAGGTGAAGGTGAAAACGAGCAGCCAGACGACCCCACGGTCACTGCGGCACGGCAAAGGCAGCAGCTGAGCATGGTTGAGGAGGAGATCAGCCTGCTGCAGTCGCTCCAGGGAGACATCGAGCAGAACCCCTACTTCTCCAAACCGACCTTGAGCGACTCAGACGAGGACAAGGAGCGAGAAAGGAAGCTGCAGCAAGGCATGATGCCCAACTTTGGCGATCTCTCCGGGCTCTCCCAGCTGGGCGAGGCCGAGTTCCTCCAGCAGGGCGGCTCACCTCTCTTCTTCGGCAACAACCTCCACAGTACCCTCGGCATCCCCGGCATCCCCGGCATCCAGTCGTCATCGGCATCAGGCGCCGCCCATCGGCGGGCTCGCCGGCGCGCGCACAACGAGGATGGGTCTGAAGATGAGACCAAGGGCGGTCAGGGGGGCAAGGAGCGGCAGTCGCGGCGCAAGGGTGCCGCCGCCCAAGAGAAGGTGCAGAAGATGCTGGCGAAGCTAGGGCAGCAGCAGGACCTGCACAAGCACCGGATTGACGAGGAGAGGAAGCGGATTCGCACCACCGGACAAGTGGAGAAGCTCAAGGCCATGGCCAGGGCCACGCGCGAGAACTGCGCCCACGACCAACTGGTGCCAGACGACCAGCGCCGGCCCGTGCAGCTCAAGGAGGACCACCAGCTTCTCTTTGATATGCCCAGCCCGGGCTACCCCGGCCCCTTTGTCATGGACGGCCTGCTCTTCCGCCACGCGCTTCAAGCGTGTGTTGTCCACGGCGCGGCCAGGTCGCTTGAGGTTTTGCTGCGCGAGACACTCATCAAGCCGAGCGAGAAGGACCGCGACGAGCGCCTGGGTGCGGGTGAGGTGCAGGAGAAGGAGGGTGGGAAGAAGATCAGCTGGAGCGATATGGCGCTGGACGCTCTTGACTCGTCTTGCATGTATCGGGACGAACCTCTCAACGTGGTCACCGAAGGTGCGCGGACACACACACAAACACTCACACACACATGCTGTTGCTGTGGGTGGGAGGTTGGTTCATTCGTGTGACCGGTGTCTGTCTGTCTGTCTCTCTCTCTCGACGAATGGAGCAAGCAGACTACCTGCCGTCGCCCCTGCTGGTGCAGGCGGCCACGGCCAATGCACCCATGCAGATCGTGCAGGTACGTCAGAGAGAGCACTCCGCCGGCATTGGGAGGGAGGGTGTGTGGGTTTACATGGTGCCCCCCCCCCCCCC